TAGATGACCATATTGGTCCCTTCTGACCTTAAAGTCTATGAGTCTATAAGTTAAAGAAAGAAAAAATACTTTTCCTCTAATCCCTTACTCAGCTAGACAACTCCATTGTGACCAAAATGGAAGTAGCACCTGAGTAAGAACTGAAGAAATACTGCAAATTTCACCCCTCTGTGTGGAACAGAAGGGGGGGCCTGGAGAATACATTCTGCTTTCTGCAGTGTGTTCTTGCATTGCCTTTAAGCCATGTGCCCTAAAGTTTTCACTCAATAGAGGGAGGTTAAGCACAGATCTGTCAACATCAAGAAGAAAACTTTTGCCAGATTGTTACAATCAGTAACATTATATATATATATATATAGGTTTTGTTCTTATTCACATTTTGTTTGTTTGCGTGCACGTGCAGGAGTATTTCAAAAAGGAGTTTCCCAGTTTTAATTAGCTGTAAGGGAGAAAAGAATGAAGTGAAATATGGCAAGTAGGAATGTCTTTCTTGACTTGGTGAGAGAGTGAAATGAACCTAATTCTCGTGAGAACAAAAACAAAAGGTAAGAATGATTGGGTTAAAGTCAAGAAAGGAAGTTCCCAAACAAGTGTCTTCTGCAAAATGATAAAGAAATAAGACTAAATCCTGTGCTATACAAATGGCAGCAACCATAACAGGAGCATGTCATGTGGCTTATGCAGAACAGCATTTCCCACCAAACCTACCTGACTCTGAGGCATTTGGCCAGAGGTTACACAACAGGTAAAGAGATAAGGAACCAAATTCTGTAATTACACCACTTACAATTCCATTCACTTTGATGGAATTGCATGGGGTATAAATTGGAGTAGAATTTGACCTACTGACATAAGCTTAGGTATTTGTAGTGTTGTTGTAGCCACATTCGTCCCAGGATATTAGAGACACAAGGGGTAAGGCAACATCTTTTCTTGGGCCAATTCTATTGGTGAAGAGGCAAGATTTCAAGCTACCCAGAGCTCTTCCTCAAGGTCCTTCTCTAGCCTGAAGAAGAGTTCTGTGTAGCTCAAATGCTTGTCCCTCTCACCAACAGAAGTTGGCCCAATAAAAGATATTACCTCACCCACCTTGTCTCTCTAATAAACGTCAATAGTTAGGCTACTATAATCTGCAAACTCCATTGCCTACGCATGAGCAAGAATGAGCACAGTGGGCAGAACTATTAGGTTTTCTATTCAGTTTACAGAAGGGGTCACTGTACCTGTTAGATACTGGCCATTGGTAGGGGCTGTGCAGAACTGCTGCACCCCTGCACACTGGGAGAGTGTGCCTTCTTCTGTACCCCTGCAGGGGATGCAGCATATTTTCCCTTGTGAACCTGCCAGCTCCAGTGGCTGGTGAACAGGCAGAGGAGCCCAGGGATTGTGACTACATTCTGCCACTGTGCAAGGACACAAGACACAAGAAGGCTAGTGGTTTATTTTGCTCTCCTCTCCCCCTTCTTACAACCTAGAGCAGCTGAATAGAATCTGTCACTAAGCTTGCAGCCACTGGTATCTTCATTTGCAGATAGTAACTACTGCAACAATAGCTATTATAGATCTTGAAAAGTTGATATTGTTCAAGTCTTATAACTGATACTTAATAACACCCTAATCAAAGGGACTGGTGTACAGCTACACAGTAATGTGTGATGTGGAAATTGTTCAGAGAAGACGAAAGCAAGGCAATGTAAGAGCAACTTGGTTTGCCGTGGTGAAAGTAGGTACCAGGGCTTACCCCCCAGAACAGTTTTGTTTTGTGGGACCTCATTACTTGATTGTCTCTTTTCAGCTGCACCATTTAATACTTGAAAACGAATCCTGGAGATGCAAACTAAAAGCTCTTCAGCTATACTGTGAAAATATGCAAACAAACTCCAAGACTACTTTTAAGACTTAGAAAACTCTCTCATGCTCAAACAGACCCTTTTATCTTGAAGGAATCCCAAGGCACTTTGCAACATGAAATATAGATGACTAAATATAATTACAGCACCGTTTTTCAAAAGAGTTCTGAACAGACCTGAAATTCAGGAAATATGGGTCATGGGATAAGCACGGGAGCAACTCACAGCATATACAGCTAGTGGGGGATATGACTGGCCATCAGTTAACCAAAGGTCAAATAAATGCAGTCAATGTTAATATATAGGAATCATTTCACTAACCACTGAAATGCAAGCATCTCTAGGGTGGAACATGACATTTTTTTTTAACAGTGTAGTACATCACTTGAAATGAAGAAGTAGTACATACTAAATTTAGGTGGCAGGAAAAATGTAAGTAGATTGTAATAGCAGAATATAATTACCCAAATTGTAATTTGATCAGGACATTGGGCAAACACCACTGCTCTTTCTAAAAGTGCCAGGAGATCCTTAATTACAAGATTTTGGATTTTAGGATGTTTGAATAATATGTAAAAACAAATTCCTAAACAGCCTCTATAACATCACAGTGACATCTCCAACACTGAAGCCTGGTGTCAAGTATCAGAGGGGTAGCCGTGTTAGTCTGGATCTGTAAAAAGCAATCCGACGGAGTGGGCATTCACCCACGAAAGCTTATGCTCCAATACATCTGTTAGTCTTAAAGGTGCCACAGGACTCTCTGTTGCTTTTTACTGAAGCCTGGTTGATTTAAAGGGAATAGTGCTATCTACAGATGAATGGCTTTGATGAATCATTACAAAATGTACTATATCCAGCTTTTAGAGGAGCTTTCACAAAGTTACTAAAACAATTACAAAATGATGGCACATTCATACAATTTGGTGATGTTGGTCAAAAATCATTGATAAACCTCCCAAAACAATTTGAATTTTTTTGACTTTTTGGTTTTTGCCACTACAATTCTGAACAGTTCTTTACCTACCTCTTATTTTAAAATTAGTTTCTCAAGAGATAAGAATACATAATGACTGGAGAATAGCACTACCAAACAGGCCTACTTGACTGAATTATGATTATCAGAATCAGTAAAAAATGTCGTGGAAAATATGCAACAATGTTTTTTATATATAATTTATGTATGAAGTATTATTCACCCTAGAAATCAGTGATTACTTCTTTGGAGTCACTCTGGTTGAATGTATCTGAGTAGGTTTCTTTTCAAAACTTCTATTTCTGTCACCTAACTCAAAGCCATTTTATGCTAAGAGGAAAATGCATCTTTCTATGGCAAATATTATTTACTGGGAAAGAACAGTTTCTTAGAGCCATTCCTGACCATCTTGCAATGACACACACAGATACAAACACAGACCTGGTGTAAACAGGTGCAACTCCTTCTATTAAAGTCAATGGATTTTGACAGATTCAGACCTGGTGTAAGCAGGCAAAACTCCATTGACTTGACACACTGAGTTACACCTGCTAATACCAGCTCTGAATGTCTCAGCTGGTTTAGAACATGCTTAATAGATTTTTAAACCTCAATGGATTACCCCTTTTTGAAATTCTAAAAGCATTTAGACCCATAATTACTCTTCATTTCTTAGTAAATGTGCTTTAAAACAATCAAATGGGGTTTTCTGATATAAAGCAACAATAAGTAGTTTTTTTTCTTCCACCAGTAAGAATTTAAAACTGTCCAGTCTGTTTTATTTATTTATAATTGTTCCCCAGCCTGATTCTTTCTTGGGTTATAAAGTGCTCTCAGGAACAACTCACCTGCAAGATCATTCGAACCGTAAATGAGAGAACTTTACAATACCCAAAAGGGACAGGCAAGAGAGCAATTATAAGTAAAGCACCACTAAGTCTTAACAACTTGCAGGTGCTTTTGAATATATGGAGAGGAGGCTTTTCAAAGGCTGGGCTGTCAGGTTCTCAATCCCTGAGCAATATGAAAAGATGCATGCTCTCTCTCTGCTGCCTGCCTCACAGGATAATTTCTGCTCCAATCCCTCAATGTAGAGTGGGGCAAAGAGGAAGAAGCCCTGCCCTAGCGGACAGCACAGCATTTTATTTATATTTTACATACAAATAAAACCCACCACCACCATGACAGGTATTAATAATAGCTGCTACTGACTGAGCTTTTTTTCCTTTTTTGTGGCATTTTATGGGTGTTGACATTTATTTATACCTTAAAAGCAGGTTTTGGATCCAGTAGATCATCTGGTAAATCTCCATAGCCTCTGACAGAAACACTTCGACAGCCAATCCCAAGTGATCATCACTTTGTTTGTCAACTCAGAGCAGTTTGTACTCAGTAAAGTAAAATCCATCCCTGAGCAGATGGCCAGCACAAGGCTTATACACTGCTTAAGAGCCACTTAACCTGGCTCTTTTTGAGGGTCTGAATGGGACGTACATGGTGCACAGGACCTGTACTAATCTCTGCAAATATATGAATGCCACCCTATGGCTGAATTCTGGCCACAAAACTGTATTCCAGGGCACTCATTTACTTACATAATGGACATGTTTGAGAGGCTGGCAACAGCTTTCAAGAAAAATTCTTGATCCACTAGTACTATACTCTACTATAGTATCCTCTAAAAGATACATATTTAGATGTGCAGGTCCTGTCCCCAAAAAGGAAAACAAGGTTTCTTCAAAAGGGAGAGATCTTGAATTTCAAACAAGTTCTTCATATTCCTCTAACTGGAAACATATCAGGAAATAATTTATTGACCATAATTAATTCCAGACACCTGATGGAACAAACAACCACCTTGAGCATCCTCGTATGCATTAGTGTCTATGTGAGTTTTCAACACCTTTCAAGTAAGAAAGAGATCAAATTGCACAAGGCATACTAGCATTTAGGGATACCATGTGGATTTATAACACCAAGAGAAATCTGAGTTGTCTAAAACAACAAATGGATTGCACTCATCCCACTAGATAGCTTTTTCTTCTCTGAAAGATGAGACATGGAAAATAGTTTTCATATAAGAACCATTTAAGTGACTTATCAAAAGGTTCAAATTCACCACATTTGGAATAAGTAGTACTTTAATTATCTGCATAGCACGTACACTGCTATTTGCGAGAAGGAATTTTAGTTGGATGGCTCACCTGCACTGGTAAAACATTGAAAAAGTATACCGAGTTACCCAATCACCCTCTAGTAGATTAAAAGTTCACACAGCACAGTACACATTTAACCCAGCAAGACATGTACTGGTAGCTGTGGCTGATTTACACATTTTCAATCTCATTACTGACTGTTTCTTTAATTTGAGTTGGATCTTTCACCTTTTCCCAGCCAAAGTTCTCAGTGAATAATTCATCAGCCAAGAAGACTGAGGCTGTTGAATCATCATTGCATTATTCAACTGGACCAAATAACCTGAGAATGGACACATTTATTTCACAGCACCTAACTTTTGAAATGTGCCAACTTGCAGTTGTACTCACAGATGCCCACTACATAGATGGTACTATGGCTTCATCTTACCTGCTACACTGGGCATCCTGGAAGAATCCTGATGGCTACTGGATTTGTTGCGGTTCTGATTTTTCCTTTTATTGTTGGCTGCTCGGACAGATCGAAAAAGCACTTCACTTGCCTTGAAGAATGCAACCATAAATGGCTGCTTTGATTGAGGCCCTTGTCTTCCTATAAGGCCAGCTGATTTAACATTGATACTGCGACCTATAAAATAATGCAGACATACAATTAATATCATACATACTGTCAAATTTTGCTCTTTCTGGTTGCCAGATAAATATATGGGTGAAATCCTGGCCCAAATGATGTCATTTTTGCAATTGTCTTCATTGGGGCAAGGATTTTACCCATGATCCTGAAGTTACAATATTAGAAACCTTAGCCTTATTTTGTTGAATGTAATCTAAAAGGAAGAGAACTCAACAGATTTTTTTACAAAAGTTTCAACAACTTCACAGTCTACCACTGCATGAAAACATTGTCTACACATTCTACACAAAACCCTGATATATTGATTCAGTGGTATATGTACTGATCTATTGCAAAGAAATAAATCAACTCCATTAACTTCTATCCTCTTGGAAAAGGATAACATGATGCAGTCATCTTATTTTACATCACAAGTATGTTAAATCTGGAATTCTATTTCCCTAACTCAAATCAGTAGGAATGAGAAGCGTAGGCAATAAATATATTTATGCTTTAAACAATGTAAAGCATTACTCCAAGTTCATGTGAAGTCATTACTACATATACGGGGGCACTCAATCTTTCAGGAGAAATATAAGAGAGTTTGAAATATGTACATGATTGACTCCGGTTCTGCTCCTAAGGGATGTACATACTTCTTTGAAATATTTGTTCAGTCAGGACTGTGTGGTAACCTCACTGTATCGGAGGAACTGACCCTCCCTAGAAGAAAAGTAAGCAAAACAAGTCATTGAAACTGCATCAGTGACATTTTAACAAATAAACCCTTGCTCTTAACAGAATTTATTTTGGCAGCATAAACACTTTTGTGTGTACGTGTATTATGCAGAGCCCTTCAACCGTCAGAAAATGAGACAGTGTCACATGAAGCTGTGCAGCTGTGCAAGGGTGGGGGACACAGAGGTCCTGTAAATGTGAAGGTATTGGTAAAGAAATAGTCTATGCACTGGTGTGGGCAGTATCAGGGCATTCAACTATTGTCCTAATAGATTGGAAGGTTTGTTAAATAGCTACAAGGATAATAAAGGGGAGCATCTGCCTCACAAATGTACTGTATAATGCCATTAAACTTAATTTTACTAGAAAAAGACCTTACAAATAATCATAGGAGTAAACCTTAAACAAATAAGCCTATAGGTTTCCTTTTAAACGCAAACTTACAGTGGCTCCTTGCCAGAGTCTATATTTCTTAGAAAAACTCTATCACTGGCGTAAATGAAAGAGGCAGTTTGATTTGTGGTTAAAGCAGTTTCCATTCTACTTCCACTGTAACAAATGTATTAATTCAGCTCAGACTTCCTCCTTCTGGCAGCCCTTTTGCTGTAAAAAGAGAAATTAGAAGTTCCAGCCAAATACCATACCTTGAACTGACCCACTTCAATACATAAACACTTTTACAACATGTTTATTCAGGTGTAGCACTTTAAATTGGTTTAAGATGTTTCCAGTGACAGAGAACCCAGCAAAGGCAAAAGAAGAACTGAGAAAGTTAGCAGTTTTGGAGCAGAGTAACTGGCAACATATTCTGAACTATTTTGACGATTGCTTTTTTGACTAGAAGGGAAAAATTATTTGTTGAAGCTTCTGATTTCATTTTTAAATGGCTTTTTAGTTTTGTGTTTATCTAATTCTTCTCTTCATCTATTTAAATGACTATGAAATAACACATTAAAATTAATTTCTGAATGTTCAAGTCTTGTAGCAGGTCAGATATGAAACACTGTACAGACTATTCTCTATTCATTACAACATGGACCGACCAGCCACTTACCACAAAGTTCCAAGTTTCCTTTACTTTTCTAGAGGGAATTCTTTTTGTTCCAGTGACTTTCAGAATTTTAATTTTATCTGTAAAAGATTAATACCTTACTGGCAGACATTTTAGGAATCCTATTAGATTTATGTACTGAGGACTGTAAAAGATGTGTGTAGGTTCTCTAAATTTAAATCTAGGTTCACTGAATTTACAAAGGTGGATATTGTGTGAGAAGCAAAATACCCTTCAAACCCATGTGAACTCCCTTTAAAATAACTTTTAATATTATTAAGTTTCCTCTTGGTTTCCTTTAGACTTCAGCAGTGAGATGACTATTAAGATTCCACAAGTTAAGGTTTACTTACTTACTCAAGGTATAGAGATATAAACCATAAAAAAAAAAAATCGAAGCCCATAACTCGCACTCTTTTTAGACACAGAAGCAGTTTATGTGGCTCTATACCTTCTGTTTATTTGATCTTTTGAGTAGCCAAACTAAGTTTTTTTTAGGAAAAGAGGTTTTCCCCCCCAACTCTACTGTGGATAAGGACACAATTCTACCAGAACTCAAGTCAATGGTAAAAGTCCAACTGACTTTTTACTTCTAAACACTTTGAGTCCCATTATCTACCTTGGTTTATTATATGCTTTAGATTTAATTGCATCTTTCAGAAGATGATTCCATATAAATATACACTTTTCCACAAGTAGTACTAGCTACATTTTACATTTGGTAATTACCCTAATTTATCTAAATACATATCAAACTATGTACTGTCTCCTGTAGGTTACTTCTTTGCAGACTACTGAAAGAATCTAAGAATTTGTGTTTGCAGAGCGTCCATAAGACTGCTCCCTGGGAAGAACAGGAATCCCACTCAGACCAAAGAATATAGAAGTTTGCCCCTCCCTAAACCTGGGGATCCCTCAAACCCCATGCCTCTGAACTGCCTCAAGCTCCCTGTCCCTACTCTGCCTCATCCAATGTGCCAACGGCTTGCTTGTTAGCCACTGCTCCCAGATTAAACCTTCATCTGTAGTGCAGATTTCAGGAGGTGTGCTACACTGTGGCAAGGGAAGTGGATAAGTTAATGCTTAACAAGGTCTGTTAACATTAGTTTATCAAAAAGTCTTGAATGGCTAGTGACAGGAACAGTTATTACTCAAAACTGAATATATCTAAACGGATTAGCTTTAGAGAGAGAGAGACAGACAGATTCACTTTGCAAAATTTTGAAAACTGTTCTATTCTTTGCAGCCAAAACCTGTAGTTCTTACTCCACATGCCAGCAAACCCTCTTTTGACTTCACTGGGAGAACCGCAGGTTCAGGTCCTCTTGAGACACAATTCTCCATGATATAGTATTAGTGTGATATATTCCAAAAGTTGTTGCATCACTCAGGCTGCACCATCCCTTTCAGAGTCATATCAAATGGCAAAGTGCATCTCTGACCCTTCACAGGAGTCAGTTAACTCTTCTATTAATAATTAGATCAGTTACATTTATCTCGCACCTTTAATCCTGAAAGATTTCAAAGCTCATATCTCCAGTACTGTATGTACATACAGAATCACAAAAATACCTTCAACATTGAAGTGGAGGGCAGCAAGCTGGTGATCAACTGGCACCCAGCTCACTGAGCCAGAACAAGGACCAATCCCTACTCTTGAAAAAAATATGCAGAGCAGTCAGGAATTACTTTTCAAGATGAGGATCCAGAGAGCCCCCATAACCTTCTCTATCCTAATATGCCAGCATGCACTTCACAAACCAATGAAGATAAATGATGCTTGCTTACTTGTAACCAGAGTTCTTCAGGATGGACTTTGAACATTCACACTCTTGGGGATGCACTGACCAAGTGCATCCAGGATGGTGGAATCTTCTAGTTGTAGTGCCGCCCTTCCTTTCCCTGCCCTTTGCTTGGTCATAGAAGGGGCATGGCACCCATTGCCACCTCAGTTTCTTCCAATCACTAAAGTGGAATATGAACTAACCCTAAAATAGGACTCTGCAAGAGAAGGGAAGGTGGATGGAGAAAGTGAATATGCAGAGTCCAGCTCGAAGAAGTCCTGTTACAAGTAAGTAACATTCATTTCTTCTTTGAGAATCCTCTGCATATTCCTATTCTTGCCTTGGTTTGGCGAGCAGTACTGTAAACTGGAAGGAGGACGCACAGTCCTACCTAAACAATGACTGAAGTACTCCCCCGCCGAACTGTGCATCAGACCTGGATGTCCTAGCCAGTGCATAAATGTCTTGTAAAAGTATGCATGGAGATCCTTGTAGCAGCCCTCCATATATCAATAAGGGGAATATGCTTAGTGAATGCTACAGATGTCGCAACTCCTCTAGTGGAATGTACTCTAAGAGGAGCAGGAGGAGAGAGTGAAGCTGCTCGGTAACACTCTTCAATACACAGCCTGATCCACCTACAGAGGGATTGTGCTGAAATGGCCTGACCCCTTGAAGAACCAGCATATGAAATAAATAATTTGGGAGAAGACCTAAAGCTCTTAGTTCTGTCCTGGTAGAATGAGAGCTCTCTCTTCGCATCTAAGGAACATAATTTAGATTTCCCTTTACCTGTAATAGTTTTTGGGGAAAGAAATAGGTAAATTTATACTTTGATTTATATGAAATTCTGAAACCACCTTTGGAAGGAATTTAGGGTTTGATCTAAGAACCATCTTATTTTTTATGAAAGGCAGTATCGGGGAGTCCAGCATCAATGCATGTAGCACACGAACACTGCTGGTAGAAATGATTGCTTTTATAAAGGCTGTCTTCACAGAGAGATGAAACAAAGAACAGCTCATGTTAAAGCTAAGTTCAAATTCCATGGAGGGACAGGGTCCCAAATTGGGGGATATAGATTCAATAAACCTTTTAAAAAGCTTTTTGCCAAATTGTTTGTGCATTATGGATTTACCATCAGTGTAATATGGAATGCTGCTGTTGCTGCTAATTGGACTTTAATGGAGGAGGGAGACAAGCCCATTGTCCTTAAGTGTAACAAGTATTCCAAAACCAGTTGCATAGGGACAGAAACTGGATCAATACTCCTATTACTTACCCAGATAACATATCTCTTCCATTTGAAATTGTAGCTGTTTTGGTAGATGGTTTTTGAGCATTAATAAGAATTCACTGCAGTTTAATGGAGCATGATTTTTCCAAATCTTGTATTTTCCATTGAACAGATGGAGTAACTCCTTATACCACTGTTGTCTTGA